AAGAGCAAGAGCAAGAGCAGGAGCAAGAGATGGAGCAAGAGCAAGAGCAAGAGCAAGAGCAAGAGATGGAGCAAGAGCAAGAGCAGGAGCAAGAGATGGAGCAAGAGCAAGAGCAAGAGCAAGAGCAAGAGCAAGAGCAAGAGCAAGAGCAAGAGCAAGAGCAAGAGCAAGAGCAAGAGCCCTCAAAAGTGACGGTAGAGATGAAAATGCCCACTGATGACAAAACCGCTTTTTCCGAGTGTTTATTGAGAGGGGGGCCCGGGGCCCCCTGTTTCATATTAGGGACAAGGAATTATCTGTCTATCTCTCTCTCTGCCAAACCCCGAAAGTCCTTAAAACCGAACCCTCCCCCATCTCGAATGACCACGAGACTTTGCCCAAGGATTTTGGGTTGTCAAAATTCGACTGCAACATCCGTGTGGCTTGGTGGGGATTAAAGGTTTAGGACTTTGCGGGGTATGTTTTGCAGAGTTTTATGAGTCTTCAGGCCCCTGCATTACAGACCTTTCAGAGCGATGCGTTGATATAGTCAGAAGGGCTCCGAGATCCTCTATATAATTAGAATATGGGTTTTCGGGGTCCATTATACGATTATACTAGAATAATTAGAATATGGGTTTTCGGTGTCTATTATGCTACTATTTTACTAGAATCATAATAAGGAGGCCCCTATATAAAAGAACCAACCCAATGATACAGGGCCATCAACAAGCAGCAATAGTGCACGCATGGTATAGATCCGCATAAGAACGGTTCGGGCATCCCCGAGAAGCGGCTCTCGTAGCGATGCATCTGGGTTGGTAATCTTTTTTGTGGCGTGTCTTTGGCAGTGAGCCTACTAAGGCTTTGGTTGAATGGGGGTGCATCCTTGCAAGCAACAGACCAGCAGCCTAAACTCCGAGACCCGTAAGGATCCTGCTCCACATCCTCATCTTTTTTTTTGTGGTTTTGGTTTCTGGTGCTGCTAGATTTCGTGATTTTACGTAGTGTTCCTAGGCTTAGTTATAGGGTGTCAGAATTTGGGTAGCGATCTAGAAGCTTAGCATTTCGGTTTGCGGAACACCCTCGATCCTACACCCAAACACGCAACCGTCCCAATCACGCACTCAGGATGCCCAAGGTGCTTCAGGTGGCCTTATAGCACTAAACCCTAAACCCTAAACGGCCCTAGAAGCCTACTATAAGCAGGAAAGCCTCAGAAGGCCGTCTTCAGCCCCAAGTCCAGGCTAAGGTCAGGCACCCTCCAACTGCCACGAACGCACCCCGAAAGCTTAGCAATCTCAAGCCCTGTTCAACAACACTTCCCCCTCCCCCCATAGATCCCCCGCCCCTAAAACCTAAACTCCTAAACCCTAAACCCTAAACCGAGCACAACACCGGAAGATAGATGGAGGGCCGGCAAAACCCCAGAAGCTTCTCAGGGCTCCTCCAGACACCTCCTGGAGCGAACCATGACCGCCGCAGCTCAGCCGCACTCGGCAGATCCAGGGGTGGCATCCCCTACGGTTCAAGTTACGTATATATATATATATATATATATTTCTATATATATGTATATATATATATATATAGAGAGAGAGAGAGAGAGATCGTGTCCGCTTTCAGTGCTCTTCCAAGAAAGGCTCCGCCGAAACCCTGAACCCTGGGCCCTGGACTCGGAGATCATGTTGCCCAGATCTCCTGGGCTGAAACTCACAGCTGCGAACTCCTGGGACTTGTAATAAGAGGCCACAGGAGATGTGTGTTTGGCGGCGAAAAGGGCGTTATCAGGTCTTTGTTGAGTTTCGTACAGTTCTTGGACAGTTCTACATGGGTTTAACGGATCTGGAGGGTTGCGATTTGGCAAATGCGTAGGCCGGACTCATAACAGAGATCCTATTTATGAACCCCGTCAGACTTATCTGAAAAGTTCCTCTCGGCTTCCAATCACAGGTGTCCTAGACATTCCTGGACCGTCATTTAGGGCCGTACAGGGTTGAGGGTTTAGGGTAGTGCTACTGTACAGCCTTTCTGGAGCCTTTTTTTCATCATGAGTGAGGTGCATATAAAGTAGGCCGCGCACTTTTGTAGCTTTGGTTCCCCCGGTAGGCCGCTTTAAGGAGGATCCTAGGGCTCACATCGGCAATAGAGGGGATCCTAAACCCTGAAGTGTGGACCGCACTGTTTCGGGAATGAGGTCGGCACACCAGATTACGTGGCTCCGGAGGCTCGCAGGGTTTTTGCTGCTTCGTTCAGAGTGTCTAGGGTTTCGGATTCTCTGGGCTTAATACTACTTCATATGCATTCTGTAAGGGTTCTATCGGGGGTCTATACAGGATTTTCAGGGGATTCAGGGGTCGAGGGCTGTTAAGGTTAAGGGAACTTCAATCTCAAGCCCCCGCAACCCCCCCTCCATTCGAAAGGGCAAGGGCCGGGTGCGGGCTCCCGAGAAAAACAGAAAGCCTAGATCTGCTTAGGGTCCAGGGATTAGGGATTAGGGATTAGGGTGACTGCTCAGAGTTTCCTGAAGTCGCAAAACCCTGTAAATTCCATTACCGAGGATCCGAGTTCCTAGCAGCTCGTGGCATGTGCGTTGAAACACGAAGTCTCGACCCCTAAACCCTAAACCCTACCTTAAACTACCAGAACCTATACTTTTTTGCAGGTTCTTATTATTAACCTTACTAAAGACTTTATAGGGACCCTACCAAAAAGTAGGTTTTGGTAGCTTAAGGTAGGCCCTGAAGCCGGAAAAAAGAGGTGCTGGATGGCAAGTACGACGAGCGCGTCGACTTCTGGAGCTTTGGAGTGATTCTCTACGCCATGCTGCCCGGGGCTCGGGTTTAGGGTTTAGGGTTTAGGGTCTAGGGTTTAGGGTTCAGGGTTTAGGGTTTAGGGTTCAGGGTTTAGGGTTTAGGGCCCTAAACCCTAAACCGAGGCTCGGGTTCAGGGTTGTGGTGTGAGGGCCTTGGGGGCTCGGTGATCGGCTTGGGGGTTTCAAGGTCTAGGAGCTTGGGGCTTGGAGTTTAGGTGGTTTAGGTCTTCATCGGGGTGTGTGTAGGGTAGACCGTGCGGCTTAAGGCCTTTGTGGGTATGGCACTTAGGGTCGAAGACCCCAAACCCTATAAACTCCAGGTCGAGGTTTGAGGGCTTCTGGGTTGTAGGGGTTGGGCGGCTGATGCCCTTCTGCTAGAGCTGGGGTTTAGGGTTTAGGGTTTAGGGGTTTAGGGGTTTAGGGTTTAGGGTGCTGCTAGATGCTTCGGGGTTCGTGACTCGGATCCGAAAAGTCCAAAGCCCTAAACCACGCCCTCGGCTGTAATTTAGCGGTGAGGTTGAGGGGCTCACTGAATATCGGACCAGTGGGTGTTTCAGGGGGGTGAGTTTGGGCGAGGAGGATTCCTAGGTGGGTTGCACGGAGATCACGTATGAGTTAGATTTAAATTTGGGGGAGACATAGCAGCGGTGCTCGAACCTATCTTTCACAAGCCCTGCACCTTCAATCCGAAGACCAAGAAGCCGTTTCCTCTTCAATCCTACGCCCAAACTCTTTAGACGTCCAAGTGCCCAAAGAAAATGTACGACCCACCATGCTAACAGACATTCCCAAGTACCTGATCATCAGGCACTGTGGACCCTCAGCCCCAAACCCAAAACTCTAGATCTAGACCCGGTAGAACTCATAATCCCCCAACCCTTAAACTCGAAACCCCCTGAACTCGAAGCCGCATCCCCCGCCACAAAACCCAAAACCCTAAACCCAAAACCCTAAACCCCAAAACCCCAAAACCCTAAACCCTAAACCCTAAACCCTAAACCCTAAACCCTACCCCACCTCAAGGTGCGGTCGCATGCCTTTTACCGTCAGCAGCTTGAGCCCTGACCTCCACAAGGAGCCCTTTTTTTGTTTTAGGGGGGAAGAGAGGATGCCCTAAACCCCAACAAAACTTAAAGGATGAGTGGGTTTAGGGTTTAGGGTTTAGGGTCCCTAAACCCTATAAACCCTA